TGAGGGCTGTTGGGAACATAGTGACTGGCACAGATGAACAGACCCAGGTGGTGCTCAACTGTGATGCCCTCAGCCACTTCCCTGCCCTCCTCACTCACCCGAAGGAGAAAATCAACAAGGTAATATATTCTCTCTTCTCTTCCACACACACACACACACACACACACACACACACACACATTCACACTCACTACAATCTCAAACCGTCACACTAGTTGTCTGGAGTTGATGAAATCAGAGACTTGGTGCTAGTATGAATGCTGTGTGTGAGATAATAGATGGGACAGATAGCTAATGTTAGGACTTCACAGCGTGGCGAATCGTGGGGATGAAGATGACGAAGAGGACCTCAGCGGCTTGGCTAGTTGTAGTTAGTGAGGGGAGGAGGGTACTAGTTTGTGTGCATGTGATTGAATGCATGATATCATGGGTTGGTGGCCAAAGGGTGCTGAGACCATGTGTTCCTGCTGATACTGGAGTGCATCTGAGACCGGTCACATAAAATGAGGCCCCCTTTGTGACCTGGACGATGATTAGAGCCTCAAAATCGCCCTGGCCCCGCCCACAGCACTCTGTCTCGACCAGAGGTCAAACTCTCTGAGCGACCCTCTGGATTCTGATCCAGATTAGATACAAAAGGTCATTTTTGACAAATGTTTTCAACTTTCATCAAGAAGAATGGACAGTCATGTCTTCCTAATAACAGCCTACACAATGTGATTTCCCTGACTGGGCCCTTCTCTCTGGTTGAGGGTGTCATTCTTCAAATCACTTGGCTTCTTTGGTTTGAATAAAGCTTGTATACACTTAAACCTATGCTTAAATAAATAAATTAACAGAAACTGCCTGTCTCCTTGATAGAAAAATGTAATTTGTGCTTTTTCTCCTGTAGGAGGCAGTGTGGTTCTTGTCCAACATCACAGCAGGCAACCAGCAGCAGGTGCAGGCCGTCATTGATGCCAAGCTAGTCCCCATGATCATTCATCTGCTTGACAAGGTTTGCATCCATCCCTTTTTTATGCTCCGTGACAAGTGCATAAATAGGTGATATACGATTCTTTGTAGAGTAAAGTAAACAAATATATGTATTGCTTACTTAAATGCATATATTTTTAGGGTGACTTTGGCACTCAGAAGGAAGCTGCTTGGGCCATCAGCAATCTGACAATAAGTGGGAGGAAAGATCAGGTAAGAGCCTTTTCTTTATAGTACTTGGACTCAATAAATTACTGTTCCTTTTGTGTGCTTTTACCCTTAATCTTTTTCCACACCCATTATTAACCAAACGCTATTTGATCTTTGTAAACTGCCATGGAGAATAAGTCATTAACTGAAAAAACATCATTTCCAGTTCATGAGTTTGACCCACATTTATTTTACAACTTTGTTGTGGTGAAGAATAATTCCTATGTTGAGGATTCGTTGACAGTTTTAATTGCCAAGCCACTATTGGCAATTATCACATTTATTAGTGACTTAAATCTTTGAATCCAAACAAGAAAATTAGATCAACAAAAAGTGTAAATTTGAAATGGGGAAGTGTTGAACCCCTATTAATGAAGTATTGCTCCCTTTTCTAACATGTCACATTACTGATAGACAGTACATCATTGTGTTGTCTGCTGTCTACAGGTGGCCCACCTCATTGAGAAGCAGGTGATCCCTCCATTCTGCAACCTGCTGACTGTGAAGGACGCTCAAGTTGTGCAGGTTGTCCTTGATGGCCTCAGCAACATCCTCAAGATGGCCGATGATGAGGCTGAAACTATTGCTAACCTCATTGAGGAATGTGGAGGTGAGATCCACTTTGTACCATCAAGGTTTTGTGTACTAATTAGAATCCTGTTTTAAAGTGTGATTGTTGAGCAAATGCTGTATAAATTGGTGTTTTTGTCCCACAGGCTTGGAAAAGGTGGAGCAACTGCAGAATCATGAAAATGAAGATATCTACAAATTGGCTTACGAAATTATTGATCAGTTCTTCTCATCTGATGATGTAAGTAATATTGTGTGTGTTCATATTTTTCCTTTCAATATTAAGTTAAAGTATTATAAAATTAAATATTATTATTAGTAGTATTAAAGTATTGTTTTTAGTTTAAAAGCCAAGTCACTGTAGTGCTTTTGGCCGTATATTCCTTTTTAAAAAGTATCATTTCACTGAAAATGATAAATAGTACTTTTGATATTGTGTTTCCCTGTTGGAGAAGTTTTCTGTCACTGGCCCAATACTTTTCCCTACTTACTTCAAATGTCACTGGCATGAAGCTCTAGAAATCTCACTTTTCTTTGAACACCACTGGTGTTTAATCCACTGTCATATATTCTGTACTTTGTTAATACTGTGTTGCATTGTCTGTCATTCAGATTGATGAAGACACCAGCCTAGTCCCAGAGGCCATCCAGGGCGGAACTTACGGCTTTAACTCAGCCAACGTGCCAGCCGAGGGATTCCAGTTCTAGACGGCATCTGGGGTATTCTGGAGTTTTGTTCACGATGCAGCACTCTGTTCAACATAAAAAAATTAGGAGAGAAAGAGCGAGAGAGAGCGAGAGTGTGAGAAATTTGATCCATTGTGCTTGGCTCGTGGGATCCATGGCTGCATCTTATCTGAGAGAAAAATGTGTGGATTTCATTTGGCATTCCAGGGGAACCAGCCCAAATGAAGTTTGAGATGGCGAGTGGGTGCGAGTGAGAATGAGTGGCTACATGTTGCAAACAAGCAAAACATCTACATCGAATGCGTTGAGAGACATGCCGACATAACTTCTGTGTTATTGGAGCTGTCGTCTTCGGAAAACTACTTCAAATGACAACAAAAAAACTCGATGTCTGCCCGGGGAGAACCAAGGACATCCAAAAATAAGAAATCAAGAGATCTTGAAATATTACAATACAACAAAATGCAGAAATGAATATAACTATAATTATGAACTGAGATGAACCACAAACCATCACAATTCTGCGGTCCTCCGACTAGAGAGGGCGCCACCCTCAATGTGCCCCTCCCCCAATCGGCCACGCTATCAGACATGTGTGTGAATGGACCCATTGTGTATGAATGTCTGGACTCAGTGCTGAGGAGCCAGGTTCATCTCCTCCAACAAGACGCCCCGAAGGGGCACCATCCTCTCCCCCTGGTGGGCGGGGCCAGGAGTCCGGCTGCGCGTGTCGCATGTGCGAGAGAATGGACGGATGAGTTGTGTGTGCTTGGCTGCGTGCGTGACTGGGAGTATGCAAGGCTGGGTGAGAACGCATGCAGAGACGGGAAAAAGATTCAAATACAACATCTGAAGAGAAACAAATTGAGAAACGCAACAATGAGGTTATCAAAGGTTTCAGGAAAGAAATTCTGCCTTTGAAAGAGGCTGATCCTCTAAATCCCTAAAAGGAAGAACTTTGGATATGAAAAAAAATCATCGTCATCACAAGGATTATTTTTTTGTTTTGAATTATTGTTAAGTTAGTATTAATTGACACTGGACAATGCTATTGGCAGGTGTGGAGCAGCAGTGCATTGTATTAAGATGCATTTGGTGGCTTTTGGGCTTTTCTTTTTGCCTCCAGTGTGTTTCTTTTTATGATATTTTTTATTTTAAGCTTTTAGTTTCCATTGCTTCTGTAAAGGTGATTGACGACGATCGTATTCCACCCTCACACCAGATCCCTAACCTACGCACCAGACATGGGCTTGATGCTGTGAAATTCTGACACCATCACTATAATCAACCAAATGACCTGTTCCCCTTGTGACACTTATTTGTCATTCAATTTACAGCAAAATCACTGCTTTGCAGTATTGTTGCCATAGCTTTGACTTATCACCAAGGGAGAAGAGAACAATGGCCATTTCACGTAGGATTGTGAATCATAACCTTTGCATGTACTAAACTATAGCACAGTTATTTTTAGGGTATTTTAGTTTCCTTAGGCTGTGGATACAGTGTAATTTTCATTTTAAGTAAAACTGTGCTTAAATGTTACATGTTTCCCCTTCCCTTACCCCTCACTAGTGTCCAATTTGCTAAATAATCTGTATGGTTTTGCACATGTACTGCAAAGTGAGGCCTGAAGTCTTTCTGAGGCTGTGTTGGTCGGTTTCATAGGTTTTGACCTGCCAACAACCTCTACAATATGCATCACTCAACCACAATCTTTGTTGTATTTCTAGAGTAATCCAATGATGCTTTTTAGTGATACTTGAGAAAATAATGACTTTATTTCAGGAGCAGCAGTAATGAATCTGCTAATGTATCTCAGCTAGACTAAGAGGGGATTTAACCTCCCTTTTCTCAAGGTCAAAGGGGAATTGGGGAGTTGTCCTAAGTGGGTTCTCCTGAATAATAAATAAACCCATGAACAAGTTTGCTGTACCTTTAGTACCTTGAAGTCCTTAGACCCATACTCCTCTTTCCTCTTATACCAGCTAGGTGTACAAGCTTACCCTTTTCCATTTTTTTTTGTGTTAACTTCAAACACTGTAGTAAATAATTACACATTGTGCTCATAAACCTTCTGTTGAACATAGGGGTATTTTTTTGCAGCATTCCTTGTTAGCAAACATGTGGTTTCAAATCTAAAATTACGAAATGGAAGAAAAAAAGGTGGTTTGCCCAAAAACCTTTTTGGGAGATAGGCTACAGGATAGGTTGTCTTCGAGAAAATAAATAGTGAAACCCAAATCGAGAGATTGAGTGTGTGTGTGGTCTGTTGTGACGAAGTGGTGAGATTAATACTTGTGCGTTTTTTGATTTGTTTTTCCACATACAAATATGTAAAACGGCCAAATACCTTCGTTACTCTCAGCGGTTGAGCTTGTATTCAAATCGAGAAAAAGCGGAGCCTGATTGGCCAGGGAGACCGTTTACCCGCATGCGTACTACGGGTCATAAAAAATGATGCATTCGTCGCAGCTGTCGGAAATGTCGGGGGGGGGGGCAGATAAGTTATTTAGACGAATTATATATGAGCACAGTTCTCCTTATTTACGGGAGCAACTGTAGATTAATTTAAACAACCAAAGCCAAACATTGCAAAGCACATTTACTTTTATCGTATTTTCCTACACGAGCATTGGAGTGTGCTCTAAAAGTTGGTATATGCCCGCCTCCTGCTACTTTAAGGAGTAGGAATTCACTGAGCGCTCTTGAAGGCATCACGAGAAGGAACAGGAAATGAAAGCTCTGTTTTGGAGAGACACTTTGCTCCGAGCAGACGGTGAGTTTTTAAAATTCCTCGTTTAATACATCTTTTTCTTCTATGAAGTGTCACCAAAACTAAAAACGGATAAATAATAAAACAGACAGTAGCAAATGCTAGACAGGTTGCCGAGAAAGTACTCGCTACATTTATGTGGTTTCAAGTATTCGGAGCGTCAAGTTATTTGAAATAAAAGATGAAAAGACGGTTTATTATCTGAGTTACTCTACATTTTCTGCTTGAAATGCAGTCGAGGATGCGCTACATGAAGCCATAAAAAGGGGAGTTTATCTGCTTGAAAGACAACGGTGAACGGTGCCGTTGCCTTCGATTAAAAAAAAAAAAAAAAAAAAAAAAAGTTAAAATGTTATGTAGAGTAAAACAGTCAACGGTTAGGATAAGTTAGTAGTTAACATGCCTGTCGAAATATCTGACAGCTCACAGTAAAGATAAAAAAAAAACGTGAGTTTTAAATGTACCCATTACCTATGTGGATGTGACTAAAATTCAACTTTTAATTAGCTTAATTGATGATGGTCATGAGGCCGCAGCAGAACACCTGTTACCTATTTGAATCTGGGCGCCAACTCGGCTGCAGTTTGACTCCATAAATGCATCAGGTTTTGTGTATGGTTGCACAGCTGAACAGCCTGTCCCTGACAACAAAGTGTGTGTCTGTGGGAGTTGGGACTGGGTTGATGCTGGCATGAGGCCTCCTATTGTCGCTTCGGTGCTGGCTGTAACTAGAGTAGAGAGAACACACACACACACATACACACACACACACACACACACAACACAACATAACTGATCCTGTAATAGGAGCTGAGCCGTGTTTTTGGCTCTTTAATTGTTTTTCAGTACAAGATCTGCTCTTCCACACATACTGGATAGACTTATTTTAATGAAGAAACCTCTACTAGTTAATCCTACTTTTAATAGTTTCCGGTTGTACACTCAGTGGCCACTTCATTTGATACACCTGCACTATATAATACAACCCAATACAACTGTTGTACCATAAAGTTTAATTTCAATGTGCTTACAATGTTCCAGGGTTATTTTTGGCACCGCCATAGATGTGTTAATTAAATTCTGTTTAGCACTGAGGTCATAGTTGTGTTGTACTGGTCAGAGACTGTCTCTGATATTCTGCTCTCCCAATCTATGTCAATGGAGAGGAAAAAAATTATAAACACTTGTCAATATAAAGTAGTCCAGTATAACACCATCTTTCCCTATGACCCCTGTAAAAGAAAAAAAAAAGGAAAAAAATGTAATATACTCATTTGTCAGTGATGACAAAAGCTGAACATTATAAACTTTGTGAAGCTGTTTAATTTTTTTATTTATTTGTTTGCAGAAAAAAAAGCTGTCATTCTAAAAATATCTGTTCAGAAAGACACTCAAATATATATAACCACACTTTACCTACATATGCTAAGATATACATGAATCCTAGATAATGAAGATGTATAAGCTACCCCTCCTGTGCTTAACAATTATTTCTCGTTCCAAATGTGCAACAGTCTGTACCATAACTGGGGGAAAAAAAGAGACGAGTAATGACGAACAATTAAGTTTGAATTCCTCAAAGAGTTTATAACATTAGTGCACTGACAGTCAGCCCGGAGGACTAGAGATTACAGTCATAAAAATGCCACACCCAATTGCATTGAATGTGATGTGATTAATCTGCTGAATATTTTCTCAATCAGTCATTTTGCTTGCATAATGTCAGCAAACAGGGAAAATACAAATGTTTCCTCTTCAAATGTCTTGTTACAATCCAACCAATAGTCCAAATCCCAAAGATATTTACTTTACTGTCATATCTGACAGGAATAAAGCATCAAATCATCACACATTGCAGAAGTTGGAACCTTCAAGCATTACTTGATATACTGTCCCATTTTTGTTTAAGTAGTCTCCAGGTTATATTTACTATGCAGTTTGTAGCAAGTTAATGTTTTGCTCGACAGGTGTGACACAGCTTTTCACCCATCCTGCTGTCCTGCCAGATCTTCTCCCAAAACAACCAGTCCTGAGTCCGGCCCCTAGTCTCCACTATGGAAAATCTAGAGGAGGACCTGACGTGCTCTGTGTGCTACTCTCTGTTCTCTGACCCACGAGTCCTGCCATGCTCGCACACCTTCTGTAAGACCTGCCTGGACAACTTGCTTCAGGTGTCTACCAACTATTCCATCTGGCGTCCGCTCCGCCTGCCGCTAAAATGCCCCAACTGTCGCAATGTGATGGAGCTGCCCCCAACGGGCATAGATGCTCTGCCCACCAACGTTTCTCTGCGGGCCATCATTGAGAAAGTAGGAGAGAATCATTTTCCCTCTGACTACCTGTCAGTCTGAAATCCTCTCATTGGCTGTTGCTTTGCTGATTCAGTTTGTGCTCATCTGTCATGTATGTCTGTTCACTCATGTGCTTTCTCAGTACCAGAGGGACAATGAGCCACGACCCCCCTCCTGTCAGGAGCACAACAGGCAGCCTCTGAACATGTACTGCATCCAGGATCGGCAGCTGATCTGTGGGCTGTGTCTGACTGTTGGGCAGCACCAGGGCCATCCCATCGACGACCTGCAGGCGGCTTTCATCAGAGAAAGACAGACGCCATCGCAACTGCTGGCCAGACTCTCTGATCAGAGATGGGCGCAGGTGGGGAGTCTCTTCAATATGGCCACTGTCTGAGTTGGGACAAATTAATGTGGAAATGTACTCTGAGAAACCTGTATGGAGTGTTTATTTTTTACAATTTTTTAACTGAATATATTAAAAATAAATACATGTTCCAAATAAACAAAAAAAAAAACCTTCCAATTATGCTGACTGCCCTCTTCTCCTCTCTGTCTGTTAGGTGTGTGAGCTAGGGGAGCAGCTGGAGCAGGAGAAGGCCCGCTGTGAGGGTCTGGTGAGGCAGGACCGACAGGAAGTCAATCAGTTTTTTCAGACACTGGAGGTGGTGCTGGCTAGGAAGCGGCAAGCTTACCTGGAGGCCCTGGACAAAGCTGGTGCAGAGGTGTCCCGGGCCTATGATCCACTCATCCACAGAGTGAAAGAGCTACAGGTCTGTTTCAGGACTGATGTACATCAATTCATAGCGCACATCATCATCATTTGTTTGTTTGTTTCTCAGGCACCTCTAAATTATTTAGCGCCACTTCGTATGTATGCATGTTTCATATTGGGGTGTATAATGAAGCAACTAAGAGTTAACAAGCACATTTTTAATTTTTTGTTTGATAAATTACATAAACAGTTAAATGATTACTAGATTGTTGCTTAATTATCTGATTGATTGATTAATTGACTAATAATTTCAGCACCACTGGTGTACCACAGCCCTGATAACATTTTTGTTTCCTCCAGGAAGAACAGTTGGACCTGGTGTCCTTGGGTTCGTCAGTAGAGGAGGAGGACTCGCCTCTCGTCTTCCTGGAGAAGGTGCATTTGTTCAGAGAGAGGGTGGAGGAGTTTATGAAAACTCCTCTGCCCTCTGTGATAAACCTCTCCGTCACCCCGCGGGCAGCAGAGTACCTTCAGCAGCGCTGGCCTGCTGTGACCATCAGGAGCCTGGAGGAAGCACCTGTTCCTAAGGTGAGCTGCTGTGCCAGATGTGGCAGTGTGGAGGCTGGTGCGGAGGCCGAGGCTGGAAGGGATCAGTCTGACAGCTGGGTGCAGGACGTGTGGTGTGAGCTGCAGCCTACTTCGTCTGTGGTGCTGCTGGGGCTGCTGCTGCTGCTGGCAGTGCTGTGGGTGAACCCGGTAGGAGGGGCATCGCTCGGTTTCTCTCTGCTGTCTCGGTTAAGTCAGTTAGTCCATGGCCTGAGCAGCGAACTCATCACATCTGTCTGGGACACGGCGGGGTCAGCATACACAATGATGGCAGCAGTTGTAGAGAGATGGAGCACACAACTCTCCTCAGTTGGGGGAGAGGCTTTCCAGCAGCTGGCTGCCTTCTTTAAAACTCTGACATCCCACTGAAAGACACCAAACTGAAACCTTAAACCCTCCATTTTTATTTAGAAGCCGAGAAAGTCTCACTTCCCCATTTCTGTAGTGAAGGAAAATCCGCCCTAAATATCTTTTAAACAGCTGCTACTTAAGAGTCAAAAACTGGATGTCTGATTTTGCTGTCAACTTCACAGTGAAACAGCAGGGGTTTCAATTTAGATGTAGACCAACACTGAACCTTCTGTGGTGACAGTAGAGTAAATGGACCACAATGCATTGCAAGCCCTTTTCCTTTTTGTTAATGCTTTTCAGCACTCAGAAAGGCGTCCTGGAAAATTCAGGCAATGAGTAAACAAATAACTACATATTGAAGTCCGCTTTATAGAAAATTGCAACAAAAAAAATTATCATTATAAAATTGAATATAATAAAATTGTAAATGAATACAACTAAAACCAGACTGAGCAGAAATAACTTGACAAAAATACCTTTTTATAAATTTATTAATAATCACATAAACATGGATACGATAATATTCATTTTAGGATTAATTTTTCCCTTTAGTCTTACTTTAAAGATTCCCTGAGGTTCCATGCAGACCAGGGGAAAGCGCAGGGTATGACTTGCTCACTTCCATGTTTTAAAAAAAAAAAAAATTCTGTCAAGGTCTTTTAAAAAAAAAATTAGGCACGGTTTATGTATCTGTTAATCTTTTTATATACTGGATTGTTATTGTTCAGTGTCGTTCCTCTTTGGAGTGTATTATTTGATCTGATCGTCATACTGCCTAACTAATGAGCATTTATCTAACACTAATCGAAACATTAGACTGAGAATATGGTTTGCACAAGGCAAAGTGGGAAGGTGCTCAAGATGGAAAACTTAGAAATGAAAATAGTGCCTACAAACTCTTAAGTCACCTTTCCCATTGTGCAGTGCGACATTTCAGTAGCTTTCCTGTTGTCTCAGAGAGCTCGGGACACCAATGCAGCTAATTGTGTATGTTTACAGTGACGGGGGCAGTATGTGAAATTTAGAGCCTGCTGAGTGGAAGCAGACACACAGTGGATCTGACTTAAAGCCTCCACAGATCATGTTGCAGTGATGCTCTGAGCGGCTCCCTTACTGTGCCTTTAGCCATCACACCTTTACCTCGCCTGCACTTGATAGCTTTATTGTAGTGGACTGGTTATTCCATCAGGACCAATATGTTTTGCTTAGGATTGATTTTTTTTTTTTTTATTAAAATGGTGCAATGATATAGTGTATTTTAAAAATTATTATAGCCTTTGGAAAAGCTTTATCAGCACTATTCTGCCTCGTACAAAATGTTACATCATTTTACTCAAGCAGACTTCAGCAGAGTAGATCCAATTTCTAACATTGTTAGCCAGACTTGTTATAGTGGTTTTTATAAACTTTTCTCAATTCCTGTATTTTAAAAAAAAATGTTACAATAAATTTGTTCAAATGCTCTTAAGTTTTTGTGATATTCACAATATTCAGAAGCCATGTGTGTACCAGTGTGTGATGGGGGTACAAGTTAGTCAGTGTTGTAGTATGTCTCAAAGTGAGCTCAATTAACTGATGCTCGCTAGTTGTCTTTGTAGTGTGAAATATATGGTGTCCAAGTGTCACATGACTAGTGTGCACATATCAGGCAAATCATGACCGTTAGAGGTGGTCCTGCACAAGTTGAATTTAAATGTAACATACTGTGAGCTTCCAATTTGTGCATGGTTTTTTTTTTTTTTCTATTTTAAATCTATCCCTTTTTTTTTTGCTCCTTGTGCCAATGCACATAATTTTAGGAATCTACAGAAGAGTTAATTTTTTTTGTGCACAATATAATTTGTGTGAATAAGTTACAAAAATATCTTTTGGGGCTGTGGAGGTTTAGAGGGGAAAACATTACGTTTGAAATTCGACCTAAAGTGTTGACAGTCACATTAAATACACTTAAGCCAAAATACACTACCAGCTAACAGTTTTAGAATGCCCCCATTTTTCCAGTTTTTATTGAAATTTCAACAGTTGTTGTGGATAACCTTGAAAGGTACAAACTCAGTGGTTAACTGTCCAAGTAAAAAAAAGTTTAGGTCACCAAAAACTGAAAAATTCCTTATGAAACCGGCCTTTTTCAGGGATTAAGAAATGTTAATTGCATTGCTGACACAATGGAAGTAAATGCTACCTTGAAAGTTAATGCAAACAATCCCAGTGTCCCAACTTCTGTTGATGACCTACAAACCCCGTCTGTACAAAGCCAGTGTGGGAACAAACTGTTACTACACCCTCTGATGAATACTCAGACAATACTGCAGGAAGTAGTACTGTATGTTGCTATTAGAATGGTGAGGAAAAAGGTAACCAACAGAGGAAGACAGACTGGTTGGTCATGGATGAACTGGATGGAAGGTGAAGGCAAACACTACTTTATGTGTGAGTGGACATGAGTGTCTGCATTAAGGAAAAGATTTTACCAGGAAACATTTATTGGGTCAGATAGAAATAAAGAATAGCAGCATTTCATTGTAAAGGACAAGATAAAACGATATATAAAAAATATTTACAAGCGTGTGAAAAGGAAAATAAAACAGCCAAACAAAGATTCTTCAGGTTTAAGCAGTGACGGCATCGTGCTCTTTGAAGACGATGGTTTTGGGGTTGATTCCCACACTCTTGGTGGTGTTGTGAGTTTTGTAGATGCCAATGAGCCGATCAGCGATCTCAAACATGTTGTTCCTCAGAGAGATGATGATGAACTGAGCGTTCTTTGTTTGCTCCTGCAGACATGAGGGAAAAGGAAAAAAAATTACTGATCTGAGCAAAGATAGTGATTTGAGATTTTCATCTCAACTGAGCATTATTTAGTAGAAAGCTGCTGCAGAGCTGCTGTCAAATTGTAACCTAAAGAATGAAGTGAACCTTTATCCAAAAGCCTATAAAAATAATGGGCACAGTGGAGGCCAGCATTTAAAGGCTTAGTACTTTGTTTTGATCCAGCTCCCAAAAATAAAAGATTTTTCTGAACTCCTCCATTATTCAGTGTTACACAAGAGAAACACTGAGCTCTTGTGAGTCAGTGATTACAGCACTGATTAGCTCCAAAGTTCTTAAAATTAACTGGCTAATGTAATTTAGTTGAATCATTGTATCATCCAACAACACCCCCTGGATGCAGTGGCTTACTCAAGAATGCTAAAATTAGGCAGATGTTTGTGAATAAGGAGGCTTTTCATGACTCAGATATTACACCATCTTGCTACTTAAAATGTACTTAAAACTTAAGAGACAGATCTTGACACTGTGTCATGCAGCTTATTTTGTCACGATACACACAGGGTCATACTCACATAAATGTAACAAGCAACAATGGAGACATTCTTGAAATCAAGAGCAGCATCTATCTCATCCATGAAGTAGAGTGGGGTGGGTTTATAGTGGTGCAGCGCAAACACCAGAGCCAAGGAGCTGAGCGTCTTTTCTCCTCCTGACAGGTTAAAGATCTTTTTCCAGCTCTTCTTTGGAGGACGAACACTAGAAAAAGTGAGAAATGGAATCAGTGCTCCAACAAAAAGACACGCTTTATGTCTAGAAAACACAACAGGTCGACAGGAATCAACAAAATGTGCCATTGGTCTTTGGCCTGTGTGTATGTTCATTTTTCCTCATCTGTTACCTGAACATGATGCCCTCAGAGAAGGGATCTAAACTGTCCACGAGCTCCAGCTCTGCATCACCACCCAGGGTAAGCATCTGGTAGTTTTCTTTCAGCTTGTTTGTGATCATGTTGAATCCAGTCATGAACTCGTTGAGCCGCTGTTTGCGCAGGTCCTCGTAGCCACGCTTGAATTTGTCCCTCTCTGTAGTGATCTCGTCCAGCTGAGCAACACGCTGCAAGTACAGCTCCTCCTGCAAACACACAGTGACACATATTGAAATCATTTCCTTTTTCATAAATTCTAAACGGTATTCAATTATTTTTACACCACTCCTTACTTTGGTTTTAAGTTAAGGCCATCAAACACAAGCAAATGCTTTCAATTACAATTGGAAATTTGCTGTTCACTGTTTACTTGCTGTGAAATGAGGAAACACTTAAAGTAAATGACATAATTAGCAAACCTCTGTTAAAGTTAGATAGGAACAGCCCATTCTTATTTTTTACATACCTTCTTCTTGTACTCAGCAATGGCCCCAAGGTTGGGCTTCATCTGAGCACATTGGGTCTCTAACGTCATCATCTTGTTGATAATTATGTTGGGATTAGAGATTTTTTCAAGTTCAGCAGGAGTGAGAACAGGAAGTTCCTCTGCTGGTTTGTCTTCGATGGTATGAAGGGACAGTTTGCTGGCCTGAAGAACATAAACAATAATTAATAGTCAAAGACATAAAAGCCAAAAATATATTTAATATGCCCACACATTTGCTACAGGTCAGTGTGAACAGAAACATCTGCAACTTGAAACAATTCAATTTAAAATAATTGCTCATTAAATGCCAGCCGGCAAAAATATGTATCTAAAGTCTTGAACATTTTATAAAAGTAAAGCACAGGTAATAAAATCAGGCAAAAGGACAGGACACCGATTAAGCACAACTCCAAAACTACACCAACTAATTAAAACAGCATCATTAGTGAATTATTCAATTATTGTGGAAATGTTGTTTGGGACACCTTTGCTCACCCACCTCTTTCTGCCAGTGTTTGATCTTGTTGTTGTGTTCAGTGATGGTGGTCTCTATCTGCTCAATGCGGAGCCGGACACTGAGGGACTCCTCCTGCAGTGCGTGCTCCTGCTGCTGCAGGACCTTTATCTCCTTCAACACCCCCTGATACTGCTCCTGCACCTCAGGAAGTTCAGCCTAGAGGACAAGAAAAACTGTGGTACTCAACTTGTTTCAGTGTTTACTTAAAATTCATTTCGATGTGGTGATTCTGTTACAACATGAGAATAAACATTAATGAGATGAAAAATGTAAAATATATTCCTTAATTTTAAAGAAGTATTATTATTAACCCCAGGAATGGTCCAGAATGATCAATTATCCCAACATAAACTGAAATCCTATAGAAATCACTTGCATACTTAAATATTTATTGCAGTGCATAGTAGTGTGGCAACACCTTTGAAACACTTTAGTAAAATATAAATGAGCTCTGTGGATTTTATCAGTTTTTTTTTAAATTTAAAAGTGTAAAAATATATAAATATATTAAAAATATACAAAAAATTTTTCAAAAACACCATATTTCAAAAGTTAAAATTATTTTTCATTCCTGTGTGGGACTTGTAATCAGCAACTTTTCTCTTTCTTTTAAAATTACAAGATGGATAGTTCTAGTTATCTACACTACAACTTTTGGATATATTGGTACAAAATATCTGGGAATCATTCTGTGAAAATCTTTTAAAGAAAAAAAAATAAAACAAAAAACAAAGCAATGATTCTTAAACATAAAGTGATTAAAGTGTGCCAACCTCAGCCTCCTGACATGCAGTCATGATCGCTCCGGCCTCATCTTCCAGTTTCTTCAGTTGTTCTGTGAGCTCAGCCATCGACTTCTCATTCTCCTCCAGCTCACCCTGCACTCGATTCACACTCTCCTCACACTTCTTCAGGTTGCTGCAGAGAGGACACGGACAGCAAA